ACTACCGATGAATGTTGCTACTTTTCTACGTTTTCGAGTGTAATTTTCTAGTGTTGTTGATGCTCGTCCGTGAACAGAGTCGAGTGTTTCATTCCGAGCCTCGTTGCAAAGTCGATGGAACGATAGATTATGGGGAGCGCTTGTAGTGTGCTTACTTCAGGTGTATTAAGTTAGGTGAATTAGCTTTTGGTTTTGGAGTAGGAATTTAGTAATAGTTTCTTTACCTTTTGTTTTAGAAAATTTTTTTTCGTGTATGTTTTAATTTTCTAAGTAATATATACATCTTTTAAGATTTAGTCTTAAAGATATGTCATTTAAGATTTAGTGAAGTATGATTCGTTTTAGATTAAATCTCCGTTTGGTTCGTTTATCTTATATATTACTTCAGAGAAATATATCGTAATTTCTGAGTAGTATTTACTATGATTTGATCAAAACTCTCTCATTTTGTTTTATTCGTTTCTTTATTATCTCTTTCTCTCAAAAACAAAACTGATCCACCGTTGGGTTCTACCATCTACTTATTAAACAGCTGAATCGTATTTTCTCATTACTGAAACTTTCAAAACTCCGAAGTCTTAATCCCTCCAGACTTCAAGAACGAGCTCCCCACAAACTCATAAACTCACCGTCCTCGAAAGAACCAGACCTAAAAGGAATTTCTCCCGAATTTCTCCCGTTGGTGTACCACGCATCATTGCACCTGACGATGGAAAAGAAACGCGAGGCAAAAGAAAGAGTCTGAGAGAAGGACAGTCCGAGCTCGGAGAAAAGGGTCGGAGGAGAGCCGAAAAGCTCGCGCGCCTCCAATATATCTTCATCGGGAGGGTGAGGGGGAAGAGGGGAGAACGCTCGGTATACAGAGGGAGAGAAAGGAGCGTGCAATTTAAATGCAACCACACGCTCAGCGGCACGTCAACGGGCCCAGACCCCGGCTAGGATAGCTACATCGTTGCACACAATGCAACAATATATAATGCCGCGAGACACAGCCCGGAACCTCTCCCTCTCGCCACTCTACCCTCTGTTCCCGATAGATAAAAGACGGCCTCGATGCCACGGATCCGGCGTCGCCATTTTCAAGATAGTCTCCTCCCCCGCGGACTGGAAACCAGCAGAGAGACTTCCAACCGACACAAACGCGGGCCTCCCCTTCGTGGTCGAAGCGTGTACGAGTGTTTCTCTCCCTGCGGATGAGTGAAACTCTCTCTCTCTCTCTCTCTCTCTCTCTCTCTCTCGCGCGCGATTTCTCGCGCTCTGTTTCTGTGTTACACCTATATTATAGCTATTTCCAATGTGTCTGTCTCTGTATGTATGCATGTATGTGCATGTATACGCGTGCACACGTTCGTCTGCACACACGTTGGGAAAATATCGATATATACACGTATATATGTACACGTAGAACGAAGTGGCACGTAGAGAGACGAGAGGAGAACGGCGACGAACGCAGCCGCGGCGAACGAGCGAGTATTCGTGCGTTTCGCGATCAATATCAAGCAAGATGGCGACCAAGAACCCTACGCCGCACCGAATACAATAGGCCGGCTCTTGCGCCTCCTCCCCTGGCCCAGCCAACAACCCCAGGCTCTTTTCTCTTTCTCTAGATCTTCTGCCGGCGCCATCCAGTCACCGAGCGTTCCTCTCTGTCTGCCTGCATCCACGTGAAGAGGCTGCGTGCTTCACGTGGTACACACAGAACTTGCCGCACGAGCGTTTCGAGGATCTTCGTTCTTCAGCAGTAGAAGAAGCAGCCGCTGCCCAGAGAGAAACGGGTTAACTTCATTGGGTGAAGAGCGAAGAACGTTCGTCGCGTGCGAGAGCGATCGTTTGCAATGGAGATTTCGCTAACTACGTGAAGGTAGTTCGAATCTTTTTCTACTAGGCTTCTTCGACTGCCCTCGAAGAGCGCAGATTTTCGAAAAGATGAAAAGAGTTGTTTAACATCCGTTCTGTTTCTGGAGCCAAGTTTGATCTCATTTTCGAGTACAAAGAAATGCTTTGAAGATAATTATTAAGAGTGGGTAAGAATGTTTGTTACGAATGGAGAGGAAATGTATCTTGAATCTCGATTTCTATTTTGCACTTTTCACATTATTGTCGTTTAGTTGTCGATCCTTACAAAAAACAAATGACAC